TTTTCTAATGGACCGAATGACTGAAGTTCTTACTCCAGATATTTAACAATTAGACAACGAGGCCGAGTTGTCTATGAGCGAATAGTCAACGAGGCGAAGCCGAGTTGACTATTTGCTCATAGGCAACGAGGCCGAGTTGTCTAATTGTATAAACTTTAACATTAATTTACAACTAGGCTGCAAACACAATACACAAAAAACATTATAAAACCATTAAAGGTAAACAAATAGTTTAGTTTTTGTTCGCGTAAAATGTTTTACAAAATTCAGTTTTAATTTTAAAATTTCATTGAGTGTATGTTATTTTGTCTATTTTCTTACCCTTAAAAATTGCCATTCCATATTTTTGTTGCTTTTTCCGGGATTTTTTAGTACAGAATTGTTCAACAAGTCGTCCAAAAAATCATCAGACACTTCGGCAAAAGTGCAAAACGCGAATTTTCCGCCATTTTGAATTTTCTATTAGTAGGCTATCACTATATATAATAGCCTACTAGTAGCGTAGCCAATCAGAAGGCACGAAATGTGATAGCCTACTAGTAGGTTTATACTAAATATAGTATAAACCCACTAGTAGGCTATCATGTATCGTGCGTTCTGATTGGCTACGCTACTAGTAGGCTATTAGTGATAGCCTACTAGTAGCAACACAGTGCTTCCATTTTCAAGGAAATTTCCTTTTCTAAGGAAATTCTAGTGTCGAAAAGGAAAATCTAAGGAAGAGAAAAAATCTAAGGAAATCTAAGGAATTTTTCCGAACAACTTAAATATTCATCCAAGTGCATTAGTGCAGAAGAAAGTTTCACTATTTCTTGAATTTTGAGTGAATCATAAATTATGTTTAATTAAAAATCTGTTTTTAACTTTTTCCTCGTGTTTCCGAAAACGTCTGAAAGTTTTTGAGGGATGGGATTTGGTAACTTTTGGCGCCAAACGCTGTGAATAATTAATTATTTACATCAATGGAAGGCCAGTATGTTGTAAACTCATAACAAATATTTAATTTTAAACAATATAATAGCCTGTGGTTTTTTAGCTAGCCATCATCTTTGTTAATTGTGCTATTTTGTGCCTTTAAAATTGATTAAATCCTTTGTATTGCTACAAAAGCACTGCAAACCGCCTAATGAAATTTCAAGGAATTTTCAAGGAAATAACGTATACAATCTAAGGAATTTAGAGAAATTTTGATGACAAAAATGAGAAATTTTGATTTTGAAAATGGAAGCACTGTAGCAACAGCGGCGAAGGGCGCGAGAGTCAATGGCCGTTTTTAAGCATTAAAAGCTGTATTTAAAGGGAAAAAGCTTATCAAAATGGCCTAATTTTGGTTCTGGTCCTAATTACACACAAACAAAGACTCTTGGAAACTGCTGACACATGCGGTAAAAATTTTAAGTTTTCTCAACTTTGCTCGCGTAGTTTTGAACATGAAAGTGACAGGCGATTTTTTAAAATGTGCAGAATGTTTGTTAATATTCCAAGCAGAATCGTTGAAATTCAACAATACTTTGTAGCTATTTACCCCTATTTTCTCAACCTCTTTAGTGTGTGCTTGTTTTAAGTACGAGTTCATGTATTTAGCTGTCATTTTAAAGAGTTTTTTTCGTTTAAATGTTGAGATTTTGGCCGAGTTTGTTTTTCGTCTTTTTCGAGCCTTTTTAAGTCGAGTTTTTCAATTAAATTTTAATCTAAACTATATTGTCTATGTATACTAGATTATGGAAATAGTTTGCCTCTTTATGTTCCAGATATGTTAAAGATTTCAAAGACATTCGGATAATCGGATTCTTTTGCATGTGTGTGCATTTTTATTCGGCTTTTTAACAACGTAAACTTTATTTACTAATTTAATAAAATTTCGGGAAGCCATTTTGTGTTCGAAATTTTGGATTTTTTAAGCCTTGTTTCCTTCTTTTAAATAAGTTTTAATTAACCAAACTTTGCTTCTATAACGGTCTCTTACTATTATACTGTTTTATGACATGTTTTTTAACTTTTTAAAAACTCACAAGTTGTATTTTTCAAGTCATTCTTGGGAGTTCGCAACACTTAGTAGTTGTCAACAAAGCCAAGACGAAATGTCGCCAAAGCCAAGGAAGCCATTTAAACGCTCATTTCGTTAAAACATTATTTTACATAAAAATCAAGTGAAAAATTCCGTTTTCTTTATGTGGTTTATACTAAAACAATTAGACAACTCAGCCTCGTTGTCTCTGAACGAATAGTCAACTCGGCTTCGCCTCGTTGACTATTCGCTCATAGACAACTCGGCTTCGTTGTCTAATTGTTAAATAGAGCTCACTATTTTGACCACCAAAGTCACGTGAAGAAACTATGGGTTCTCATTGGCCAGTTCATTCAAGCAACTCAGCATTAAGCTCGCAACATTCGCAGACGTTGAGATTTTTTTCCTCGTGAGGTGAAAAATATCAAACACGATAGATATTTTCTTCAAAGCCTCGAGAGGTTAAATCTTTACGAAAACTATCTGCACACGAGAGACATGCTGAGGTAGACGCGAGGCGATTATCTCGGCAAGTTTCTCTTGTGTGCGGCAGGCTATAAATGCATCTTGTTGGATTCCCACAGCGAATTATACTAATTTCTCCTTTATTTACCTCAGAATTCAAGACTGCTATTCATTAATAAAGATAATTAACATTACTTCCTCACTCCGATATCATTTCGCATTACAAAGGGACTTTAGCATAGTTTTAGCAGGAACTCTGAGATTGCACATACCTCCGCCAGCAAATGATATAAATATCTATCATAGACATGAATTACCATGGATCATATAATAGGGACCTGGTGTGTTGCTTTGACAACCACATTGACAACCACACAACGATTAATCGGACCGATTTCAGGTTTTTGCCAAATGTTAATGACGAATGTTGTCACTTGACGATGTCGTCAGATGAGGTTGACAGCGTACTTTTCAAATATCATTTACTTAAAGCTGAATCGGCCCGATTTATCGTTGTGTGTATCAAGGCCCCACTAGTTACGCGATACCGGATTCGCATCGGAGCGACATCAAATTTTACACTTTCGAGGGGAGTTTAGCACTCAAAATTATGATAATATATAACAGAATTAGTCAAAACATCAAATATGAAAAGCGTCTTAGTTGATGTCGCTCCGATAAGCGTCTTAGACGCAGTCGGACCGCGATACCGGATTCGCATCGGAGCGACATCAACTAAGTCTAAGGGGCTGTTCACACATAGCAACGTTGAGATCGGTCTAATTTTGGATCGATCTTGTAGCGATCCGAGATCGCGCGAGCCAAATTTAGTGGAATGTCCACACTTGCACAGAACTTTTGCAGTTAACGTACCAAATTATGGGGACTGGGGTCAAGAATCAAGATCAATTTTCAATATGGCGGATTCGGACACCGCGATTGTAGGATTGGCAATAATAGCAAGAGATTTAGCTAAGAGGTTAAAAAGGAGACAAAGAAAGTGGGAAAAATATTTCTTTTGCAGAAAGAAAAAAATGGCCATTTTATTTCTCAGACTAAGTGAAATCTATTTACGTCGAGAGACGGTGCTAAGAAGGTTCTGGCAAGAGCCAAGCAGAGGGAAAAGTTTATTTTGGGAAAGAACCGCAAGTCAGTGGGTCGATGACAATCTCTGGGTTGAAAATTTCCGCATGTCGAGAAATTCTTTTCTTGCAATCTGTAGAGAATTAAGCGAAGTCTTACACAAGAAAGATACAAGGTTTCGTAAAGCCATTACTCTCGAAAAAAGAGTAGCTGTTTGCTTGTGGCATCTTGCAACAGGCGAAGACATGAGATCTTTAGGCTGGCGATTTGATATTGGCAAGAGTACAGCTTGCCAAATTGTTAATGATGTGTGTGAGGCTATAGCTGTTGTGCTTTTACAAAATGTCATTAAATGGCCAACAGGAGAGGCATTGAAATCCGTATTAAAAGGGTTTAAAGAAGAATGGCAATTTCCACAGTGTGCAGGTGCTATAGATGGGACACATGTCCCAATTGCTGCTCCATCAGAATACCCATCCAATTATTATAACAGGAAGTGTTTCTACTCAATTATCATGCAGGCTGTAGTGGATCATGCATACAGGTAAACAATAAAAGTGCAAATAAGTTCATAACGTGCAACCTTTATAGTGTATGTAATCTACAAGATACTCTTTTAAATACTTTTAGATTTATAGACATCTATATCAAATGGCCAGGAAAGGTGCATGATGCTAGAGTGTTCTCTAATTCATCTCTGTTTCATAAGGGCCAACAAGGGCAACTTTTCCCCAACGTAAGTATGAGATGTGATGAAATCTGTTAAAGATATCATGGTATTATAACGTTTAGATGGATCCCATTCCCATAACCCTTTAAGTGGAATGCACCCTGATGTGCCCTAAAAGATAATACAGTTACCTTTCTTTAGTGGACAGAAAATATCAGTAATTGTGAAGTTCCAATTACCCTAATTGGAGATGCAGCCTACCCTTTGTTACCCTGGCTAATTAAGGGATTTCAAGATGATGGAAATCTCTCACGAAGTCAAATCCAATTCAATAGAAGTCTTAGCAGCGCACGTATGGTAGTAGAAGGAGCATTTGGCCGTTTGAAGTGTCGATTTCGTTGTCTTCTTAAGAGAAATGATACAAGCCTGCAGAAGTTACCTGTCAAAATTGCGGCGTGTTGTGCTTTACATAATATATGTGAAATGAATGGGAAAAGTTTAACCCAGAGTGGCTTCAGAATGATGTTAATAATAATATCAACATAATTAATGATGTTCACATCCCTGACGCAACTGCCATAAACATTCGACAAGCACTAACTAATTTCTTTAGTGCACAAAATGCGTAACATATTAACAAAAACTGATGCATGCAAACTATAACTTTACAAAGGCTGCGTTTTGCCTTTTTGGTTCATAAAAACGTTAACAGTACCAAAATTATGTAATTAATATGGTCATATGTTTGATAAACTGTTCCTCTTTTATAATTTATTATAATTTATAATATGTTTTGGTGCTGTTTTCATCTTCAAAGTAAAACTGATTACTGAGAGGTTGTTGCACAGTTGGCTGCTGTCTGCTTGAAATGGCATTGGCCAGTAATGCCATCGAATCAGTATATGCCTTTAATTCTTGTTTTCGTAGCTCAGCATCAACTTTAACCTGGTGTTTCATTTCTTCCAAAATTTTTTCATCTGATTCCTTTTGGGATTTTGTAAATTCATCCATACATTTTTGAAATTCTTCTTGTTTTGACAATCTTTGCTTCTTCTTGTTACTTCGTATTGATCCTATAATATTGCGTTTTGCATTTGATGGCTTTGATCCACTGGCTTCAGAATCTTGTGCATCAAGATCTGGAGTTTCATGGCCAACAGCTTTTTCTAACTCAGACATAATTTCTGAAGCATTGTCATCATCATCATCACCATCTTCACTTGAATCATGGATATCTTCACCTATTAAGATAATAACAATATAACATTCTAACTGCCACTCTGTTATGCACTAATATATCAACCTTCCATGGCCAAGCAGTTCAATTAATTATAAAAACCTTGTACCACAATTTACAATGGGTTGTTCCAGAAAAGATCCATACTCCCCCCATGGAGGAAATTTCTGCCGTCCGGAGGGGGAGGGGAGAAAAATTGTTCCTGATAATAGTAAATGTATTAGGACATCCGAAGGGGGTAGGAGGGTTAATTTCCTCTGTGGGTGTGGTATGGATGTTTTCTGGAATAA